TTACCCTTTCTACAATCTAAAAAATTCTTGATTTTTAGAATCCAGATTTTTGACGCAGGTGACCTTAAAGCAATTGGATAATGGACAGTAGACCTGCATTCATTTATTTGTGTTTTGTCTGTACTGTTTTTATCACTTATTTCCCATAGCTTAAAACAATGTCTAGAATCTTGTGAGCACTTGAGCCATTTTTACTTACAGTACTTCTCACACCAACTGGGAGTCCAACAGTTCATTTCTCTTCTGAAACTATCTGCCTGGAGATCCCACAAGTTAAAGGGCTCAGGGCTACGAGGCTACCTCACCTCAGACAACATTTGCAGGTCAAAAGCCACCGTATTTCTGATCGACCAGCTAAATTAAATCACAGCTACTTGGCAGAGACACACAGTCCCACATAGGCAAAACAGCTTAAACTACACACGCCATAGATAGATATAGATATCCCTTTTATTAGTTTTAAGGCATGTCAAGTTAGTATGCAAGGTAGAACTAAATGTATCCATTTAATAAAATGCCCTAAAAGGAATTTTGCCGGAAGAATCTGAATCTGTCTAAATGAAATAGTGTCTATAGGACCTTGCCAAGTATGGATATTAAAAACAATGATTACAGGATTTAATTCTTACATAAAACATTTAAAAACCAATTTTTATAGTCAAATGTATTTCATTCATTTACCTTTCTTTTAAAAAGCTTTTTTATATTGCTGGATGGATTTTTTTTTTTTTTTTTGCCTAATAGTACTAAATATGCATTATTTAACAAAAAGGAAACACTGGCAGTAAAAGCAATTCTAAATAACCTTCTATCAAAACATTCTCAGAAGGCAACAGTACCATTAACATTGGAAAATCAGCTTTATATTAATCATGACTAAATTAGTTTAAGTTTTTTAATTTAGCTCATGTAATGATTCAGTTTTCATTTTACGGATGTTTCCCTGACCTGATAGACTTGGGGGGGTGCTCTCCCAGTCTAGACTAATCCCTCACATTACTGAAGAGGACACGGAGGTTCAGAGAGAAGGAATGAGATGCTAAAAGCAGCTGATAGGCAGCAGAGCCGGGAACACAAAGCGCTGTGATCTTCGCAGCAGTTTGTATGCACAGGACAGTTTCAACCTTGCAGATGTCATGTAGTTTTTCTTGGGACAGTTATAGTAATTTTTAATCTGAAAATCATGAGAAACATTTTTTTGTTTGTTTGTTTTTGAGACAGAGTCTCACTCTGTTGTCTGGGCTAGAGTGCCGTGGCGTCAGCCTAGCTCACAGCAACCTCAAACTCCTGGGCTCAAGCAATCCTCCTGCCTCAGCCTCCCAAGTAGCTGGGACTACAGGCATGTGCCACCATGCCTGGCTAATTTTTTCCATATATTTTAAATTGTCCAGCTAATTTCTTTCTTTCTTTTTAGCAGAGACCAGGTCTCGCTTTTGCTCAGGCTGGTCTCGAACTCTCCAGCTCAAACGATCTCCCGCCTCGACCTCCCATAGTGCCAGGATTACAGGCGTGAGCCACCGCACCCGGCTGAGAAACATTTTTATTCCAAAAAGCCAATCCAATGTGCTGAGGCTTTCTTTTTCATTCCCCTTGTTTGCCTGGGTATTTTTATAATAGTAACTAATACTTGTATGGAACCTTTCAATTATACAAGACATTTTTATATTTAATATTCTCTCTTGACTCTCAGAACAACCTTGTCAGGTAAGGAGCGACTACTCTCTCCCTACAGATGAGAAGTCTGAGGCTAAAGGAAACTTAATAATTTGTGCAAATCATAATAGATGCCAGAGCCTGATCTAAGCACAAGCCTTTCTTCTCCAGAGCCCTTGTTCCTTCTACTCAGTCCAGCTTTCTGTGGTTGAAAGTTGCTATTTTAAAGTCAGATTATTCTCATGATAAATCACCATTTAAAGGAAGTCTCTGATCAGCCCTTTTGTTATGCAAATAGTAATGGTTACATTAATAATGGCTACCATGTTTTGAAAGCCTGCTATGGGCCAGGCAATGTGATAGGTGCTTATTACACCTGACCCTCAGAATCTGCGAAACGTTCTAGGAGTGAAGTTACACTATTTCTCTAGTAAGGAATTCACCCACGGCTAAAAACTTCAATCTGGTTGTTTCCAAAGGCCTGACTTTCAGCTGCACCCAAAATTCAGGTTTCCTTAAAGGAGAAGATACCCCATATGTTTATAGCAAAATCATTCTTTGTGCTACTCCTGAATTGCATACATGGGTTTTCATATTTACACATCCAGATTTCCATCTATTGACACAATAATTGTGAAAATAGTACTGTTAGTTCAGAAGCTCATGAAATTTAAAAAAGAAGGCCGAAGGGTAAACAATTCCAAATTATGTCCGCGAGTATGCCCAATATAAATTTCCACGGTGGCAGCGGTTCAGCTTTTTTTCCTTTAATAACATCTAACTACTAATGTCACACTATTCACACAAGCTAAAAGCATAATCCATCTTGCGCGCTGCGGGGTGTGGCGGTGGCAGCTCGACACCTCTGCTAATCCTAAGCACTCTGAGAGGCTGAGGTGGCGAGGATTGCCCGAAGGGGTCAGGATCCTAAACAGCCTGCAGGCAAGAGCAAGCGCGCACCCCGCTCTCTTACCATTAATAGAAAGAAATTAATTGCCAGCTAAAAATACGCCTCGCTTATAGAAAAAATTAGCGGCCCATTGCCACTATTGCTGTTACGTCCGAGCTAGCTGGGAAGACTCGAAGGTCGAACGGCAGTTGCTTCGTTGAGCTCCACAGCTTGAGGCTTGCTGTCGCAGCGCGCTAGCCTGCCGCGCGCGCAACAGACGTGAACTTCTCCTCAAACAAAAAAAAAAAGAAAAAAAAAGGATAATCATCCGCATACTACCACGCCTTAAATGCAGAGGCGTATCTAGGACGCGTTGCTTCCACGGATTTGATATCACTACATTGTCTTTTCTGAAATTTTTGTCTTCAACGCAACTTAGTCTCGGCATACGCGTTCAGGCATATTTTTTAAATTTAAATGTGATTTTTGATAAAATAATATGTTCGACTTTGGCCGCGTTTTTTTCATTTTTTGATCGAATCTTTAAACAACTATTACCTGATCAAATACTGCACAGTTTCAGGCCGCGCGCACGGTGGCCCTCAGGCTGGTAATCCAGCCCTCGGTCGTGGAAGGCCGAGGCTGCGCTCGCGATTTACTTGAGGGTCAGCGAGTTCCAAAAACAAGCGCGAGCAAAGGCAGCAAGACCCGTCTTGGACTGCATAAATAGAAAGAAATTAATTAAGCAACATCAATTCAGCTATATAGAAAAAATTAGCCGGCCCAATCCGGCTGGCCGCCATGCTGTATCCAGGCTACTCGCCCGGCCCTGAGCGCAGGGACGCGATTGCTTGCGAGCCCAGTGACGCTTTGAGCCGCTTGCCTGTGAGCGCGCCGCGCTGCAGCGCGATGCCGCACTCACTCTAGCCTCGCACAACAAAGCGCCCAGAAACTCTGCTCTCAAAAAAAAGAAAGAAAGAAGAGAAAAAAACTGACAGTTTAGAGGCCTCATTTTCAGGGCCCTCTTTTTATATGACATTATTTTGAAGAATTGTTTTCATTGAGGTGATTTTCTTTTTTTTATTTGCCACCGATGTGCAGGAAGATACCGCTGTGTGAGTTGGCTGTGGGCTGGCTGAGCACTCATGGGAGACCTGGGCAGGACACCTGGGCAGCTGCCTGTTAGCCGAGTAGCAGGTTCTCCTTTGGCTCCAAGTCTCCCTTCAGGAGAAGTGGCGCCTCCAGCCTTCTCAAGTCCTGATGAGCACAGAAAGCAGAGGGAGTTTTTTTGTGTGTGTTTTTTTTGAGTCAGAGCCTTACTCTGTTGCCCGGACTAGAGTGCCGTGGTGTCAACCTAGCTCACAGCAACCTAAAACTTTTGGACTTAAGCGATCCTCCTGCCTCAGCCTCCCAAGTAGCGGGGACTACAGGCATGTACCACCATGCCTGACTAATTTTTTCTATATATTTTTAGTTAGCCAATTAATTTCCTTCTATTTTTAGTAGAGACAGGGTCTTGCTCTTGCCCAGGCTGGTTTTAAACTCCTGACCTTGAGCTACCTACCCGCCCTCAGCTTCCCAGAGTACTAGGATTACAGGCATGAGCCACCGCACCCGGCCAATGCAGAGGGATTTACACAGTGGACGTTCACTCAAGTTTTGTAGTTCTCCCTGGTTCCTGGGACCAGCCCCTCGTGGCTTCAAAGAGGGATTCTAGTGTCTTTCATTGTCTCAGCTGGAAAACAAACTTTGTTCAGTGTTATCCCAAATAAGTTAGTCTAGGCAGTCAGACATTTGACAGGAATGTAAGAGTTTCATGCAGGTTGAATCTCTCTAAGCAAGCCTGAGGAGTATATGCAATATGCATCCTATAATTTTATACCGTTAACACATCCTGAGGGGTTCGGTATCTTCAAGTGAAGATTTTAGAGGCAGCAGGGACTGGCCTCTAAAACTCGATGCTAATCAAGGTAGACAGTTATCAAATGGTGTCCTCCGTTGCATTATTTAGCTATTGCGTGCCCCATTTTGACAATTTATTCTTATCTGTTTCGTCTAGGTCGAACTGGAAGGTACACCCTTATAGAAAAATGGAGAGATACTGAAAGACATTTAGCACCTCATGAAAATCCTATCATATCCTTAAACAAATGGGGTCAGTATGCCAGCGACGTACAGCTAATCCTGCGCCGGACAGGGCCGTCCCTTGGCGAGCGGCCCACCTCGGACAGCGTGGCTCGCATTCCCGAAAGAACTTTGTACAGGCAGAGCCTGCCCCCCTTAGCTAAACTGAGGCCTCAGATTGACAAATCAATCAAAAGGAGAGAACCCAAAAGGAAATCGCTAACCTTTACAGGAGGTGCCAAAGGATTAATGGACATTTTCGGAAAAGGTAAAGAAACCGAGTTTAAGCAAAAGGTGCTGAACAACTGCAGAACGACAGCGGATGAATTGAAGAAGCTGGTCCATTTGCAGACAGAGAAGCTTCAGTCCATCGAGAAGCAGCTGGAATCTAATGAAATAGAAATACGATTTTGGGAGCAGAAATATAATTCCAACCTCGAAGAGGAAATTGTTCGCCTGGAGCAAAAGATCAAAAAAAATGACGTAGAAATTGAGGAGGAGGAATTTTGGGAAAATGAATTGCAGATTGAACAGGAGAATGAAAAGCAGCTGAAGGATCAACTTCAAGAAATAAGACAGAAAATAACAGAGTGTGAAAGCAAATTAAAGGACTATTTGGCCCAGATCCAGACCATGGAAAGTGGTCTTGAAGCAGAAAAACTGCAGCGGGAGGTTCAGGAGGCACAAGTCAATGAGGAAGAGGTTAAAGGAAAGATCGGGAAGGTCAAAGGGGAGATCGACATCCAAGGTCAGCAGAGTCTGAGGTTGGAAAATGGCATCAAAGCTGTGGAAAGATCTCTTGGACAAGCCACCAAACGATTACAGGTAGGAATCTTTACGTAAATAGCACGTTTCGTCTATTGAAAAGAATTAGTATATTCTTGTAATCATCTTTCATGATTGTCCAGCTTCCCTGATGTTTAAAGAATTAGAAACCTGGCTTTGCGCGTAAGTTTTGTATAATTCTTGTAACTTATGACAAAGCTTGGATATAAGATCAGAATAAAGAGAAGACCTAAAGCCACCAATCCTTGCACCAGGGGAGAGGTGTTTGTTTTTTTTTTTTTATGTTGGGTTTAGCTTTAGATCATTGCATATAAGAGAACAGAATGTCAGCGCTGGAGGGGACTCTCATGATAAGATGGTGAATCTGATCTGTTCCTCTTGGAGATAGGGGACCTGAAGCCCCAAGAGGCTACCACAGATTGGTTGACCAAGGATCAGTGTGGCTGGTGGACTGCTTCTCTGTCACATGCACCTTGTTGCCAGCCAGCCCCGGCTTCTTTCCCCGAGTTGTAAACAGTCCCCATCTCCCACTCTCGAGATTACCCTTCGCTTTCCTGAGAGAGGCACAAAGATCCCTCTCGGATTTTTTCCCTCTCTCTAGTTCATATGTAATAACATTTATATTCCCCCCTGAGACCCTGGTCACTCGACCCTTACATTTCTTGGGTGCGCATTCTTGAAAAGACACCGTGATTGTTTTACGGGAGTTGCAAAGAAGTATCAGTCTCTAACAAATGAGATGAGAAATAAACACAACCCATTATAATATGGCTATTGAAATTTAAATCAATTAAAATGAAATAATATTCAATAAGCCTGTAAATTGTTACATAATTTTAAAATCTGTTTTTTATCATACTTGTTTAAAATTATTTTAAAACTCTGTCTTTAGCCATATAGCCACATATGACGCTTACTGTACTGGACAGCACAGACACAGAACATTTCCGTCACCGGAGGAAGGTCTGTTGGACTGCGCTGGTTTAGGAGCTTGCTAGCCACAGTGCAGTCCATACCAGGCAGCTTCCGGGCACAGTTGTTAGAAATTCCAGATCTACATTGTCACAAGATCCCTACGTAGCACCTGTGCACACTGAAGTTTGAGAAGAGCTGCTTTAGAATATGAACAATTTCAAAATCAGAGAAAGCTGAGTTTTAGGAAAAACCAATGATTTCCTTTCTCTGTCATTAACTGTGGTGGAGAGAGAAAACTACTATCAGAATTTTGAAAATCAGGAATTTTCGCGCTCAGAGGTTTGTTAGCCTCTGATTTGTCCGTATTTTACTATGTGGATTCATTTTGACACTTAAAAAGGTACAAGTGAGTTTTATTGCCTTTGGTATTACTTAACAGCAAACACCAACTTATGCAATCCTAAGTATAAAATCCCGCCACCCATTGAAAAGTGTCTAATATCAAATTACTAACCATGTCACCAAGTATCCCCTACACTCAAAGTAAGTGGAGAAAACAACCACCAAATTACTGTCTCTTCCCAACCCTACCGAAACCCTTTGGATGCCCCCAGCTGGGATAGGGCGTGGGCCATGCTACTCAGGCAGTAGAGGAAGAAAGGGATGAAAAGCTGTTTAAATGATACTTGCTTTTGGAGCGTTCCAGCTGTCCAAACTTGCTATCCTGCTCTAGGGCTCTGTATTCTCAGATCTGTCAAAGACCTCATAGTGAGAACTATGGGAATCTTGCTTTACCTCGTGCTATAAGATAAGTCTTACACGGATCCCATGAAAACTTAAGCAGTTAACAGAAAACAAGAGCTCTCAATCTCAGGACCGAAATAATTATTTGCATCTTCATGAATATACAGAAATTGTGTGACCAGGCCTTTAACTACAAGATTGATACACTGCATGGCCAGAAACCCTTATTTTTTTTTCATGAAAATTTATAACATGCATTTATTTCATAAGGGTGCATAATGTATTTAGGGAAAAGCATCACATTAGAGGGACAAACTGAAGAAGCTATTGTCTTCCCTTTGCTTGTTTTTTGGGCCCATGCCACCAGAGTGATAAGTGACTCGGTTTAGCCCACTGTACCTGATAAAATGTGATCTTGGAAAGGCAGTTACCCTCATGTTTAACCCCTGCAGCCAGTGGACTTGTCATTAGGGTGTCTTTGAACTGACCAATAGTGAATCCTCAAATTAAAAAAAATAAAATAAATTTCCATCTCAGGACAAAGAACAAGAACTGGAGCAGTTGACTAAAGAGCTGCGGCAAGTCAATCTCCAGCAATTCATCCAGCAAACGGGGACAAAAGTCACTGTTTTGCCAGCAGAGCCCACTGAAATAGAGGCCTCACACGCAGATATACAAAGGGAGGTGCCATTCCAGTCCGGGTCCCTGAAGCGACCTGGTTCATCTCGGCAGCTCCCCAGTAATCTTCGCATTCTACAGAATCCTATCTCATCTGGTTTTAACCCCGAAGGCATATATGTATAACACTGTCGGTCTTTGCGGGGGGGGGAGACCCAATAAAGGTACCAAGGACAGTAGAATTCTCCCTTTGATTTGTGCCAATGATGAACAGAGGGTGTATTTCACAAGCCGCCGTGTCTTTTTTTTTCTCTCCTAAATCGCATCCCACTTGGAGCCATACCCTGTGCACTGATGCTAAAGAACAAAGAAACTGTGTTCTCACACGTCAACAGTGTTGATATCTTTGTCCAGCAGCTGTAATGCAAAGCCTTCATTTTTATTTGTAGCATTTTGTGAGCATTAGCCAAGTGTCATCTTGTGTGTATTACATAAGTAAACCGTGACTTAAGAGTGAAGAAACATTTGTGACTGGCCTTAGTTTAATTTATTTCGTGTGATCAATTCATGTGTGAATGTTGATGTTTTAATCTTTTTCATTAATACTTATCCTGTGACTTAATTTCGTTACATGCTGTGTGATGACTCCGTGTGCATGTTGCCAGACTCCATCCGCGCATTGCTAATTTACAACTACACGAGCCTCGTGGGGTGTTCCGCCATCGAAACCAACTCCAGAAGAACCCACTTGAATTTATTTTCTGAAACTGTCCATTAGCCATTGCTTAATTAGGTGAAATAATTTTGAGGGTTTTTTGTGTGTGTAAATCTAGAATTTAGTCATTCCTTTACAATATTCCCAAGTATATGATATTTTTCATGAGGCAAATTGTATGTGTAAAAGGTTTGCAGTGTTTTCAGATACTGTTGGAACAAAAATGGAATCGTTGATATCTATCCAGACAGGCATGGGGTTTCCTGATACATTATATGTTTCGTTTCTGCCCTGCCCTGTCATTTCCTCTCACAGGTCCTTAGAATTGACATAATACGTAAGTTATAGAGGACCAGATTGTTCTACTTGCAGAATGTCGTTTTAAGTGCTGTATTTTTAAATACCACTTCATATGTATGACCTATTGATATACATACCCATGGGTAAGTTATTGCTTGCACATAATTTACCATTGGGATTTCTCTAGACACTTAGAGGGAAAGTCGATTGGAGTTAGGTACTTTTCACCAAGGGAATAAAATCAAATTCAGTATATGTTTTTACTTTTAAGCTTGACTGTTATAAGACATTAATCTGCATTTGTACATGTTGTTTTACTTATAAAACCAAAAATGAGTCAATGCCTCTCCTATGAGTAGTGACTTAACTGAGATTTATAAGAATATTTAGACAGAGGCAGTCAGATACCACTTAGCCATTTTGACATCCCCTCTGGTCAAATATGGTACAGAATAATGAAGACTTTAATCTGAAATTTAAAGTCGTTTTTCTGAAGATAATTAATTCTCTGTGTCATTTACATGCAACAAAATAAAAGTGGGTTAACGTAGTAATGCCATGGTAACAATAAAAAGATATGTCTTATGCATGAAGGCAACTTTGGATGTTTTAACACATTTGACTTATTTTTGGTTCAATGAATGCTGAGAATGCTGCTTTACTTAGGTTTCCTATAAAACATTTTAAGAACGGCTATGAAAATATATAGAAGCTTCTAGAGAACTGAAAGTAACAATGTAGAGTTGACTTTTCTAGTACAGCTAAGTGGCAGACCTCACCTGAAGATATTATTTTGGAGGGTTCTTGGAGTTATCGAGTTGATCTTGCCATTATATTACTTTGCAAATAACTGAAGAAGTAAATGATTTTTAACTAAATAACCACAGCCTGTACACATTTGCTCTCAGTTTAAAATAGTTATTTCATTTCAACATATATTTAAAATTAGGGTAATTAAAAATCAAAGTAATTTGTAGCTTTTGTGACAACATTGATTTATGTATGCCCAGTATATGCCTTATTTTTAAAGAGTCCTGTCCTATAATACTAAGAGTCATTTTGTCATTGTTCAGAGAAATTGAGACCTTATTCACAAAGAAAAACATTTTTTATATTAATTGCATTCTGTTTAAATCAAAACATGTAGGTAATACTAAATTTTGCAATTGGAAAGTACACAGATGCCTTGGCATACAATGAAAAACACAAGTTCAGTGTCCAACTTAATTATTGTAAATTATTATCAGAATTAACCTAATAACTTTAAAGATAGGTAGCATCCTTGCAACTTACAGCAGTCCTGGGTCCCCCAGCATGGGTCCAGTTAACCTCTCTGACTTCCTCAGAATTTCCAAGCTGCCAAACAATCTTCATGGACCTAATTACAGATAGAAAAAAACAAAATGTACTATTTCCTATATGGGGAAAATATATAAATGTGAATATGATGAATACATTGAGCAGCTATAGTTTTTAATCAGTTATATTATTTCTGGAAGCACATATCTAAGGAATATTTTCTAAGACTTAGAGGGAAACAATTCATTTCCGTAGGAACATCTTAAAATATTTTAGTCTATTTGTGATTATTTTTATCTATTGTGAATACAAATGAGTTGCACTAAGTGCTACATCTTTGGATACATTTCTGACGGGGGTGGGGGGAGAGCAGGCAATAGTATATGAAAATACCAAATATAAAATTTTGCATCTAGGGGAATATTCAGGTTCTAAATACTAAATTAGATGACAAGTTTTTGTGTTTTTTTAAAAAATCATATTGCAAATTGTTTTACTGTAATTTTCTATAAGTATTAAATACATTTAAAGATTTTTTTCTTACCAAGGAATAATTTTAATACTATTGTTATATTTGACCTCTTGAGTATCTGTTATCCTTTTTTTTTTGTCTTGATGCATAAGGCATTTTTTATATGTGAGACTTCCGTTGGTATTAATAAGAATTACCTGTTGTTTAATTCCCCTAGTAATCAATGAGCCAATCATGAATTCATATAGTTCAAATTAGATATACAACAAGAACTAAAACAAGACTGATAGAGTAAAATACATATATATATGAGATAAAGTAAAAAAAAATAGAATTTATACTGTGAAATGTGAGCTATAGCAGTGTATAAGAAGAACATATAAGCACTTGTTGTTTCCATAGCATAAATAAAATTTACACCTGCATTAAAAGATAATTTTCTTTGTGAATAAGAGCAAAACAGTCTTTAAAGAAAAGAACTTACTTCTGTGAACATCTTTTCAAGTTAAAACTGTAATGGATTAAGAAAATAATACGGAAAAGGCAAAAATCTCTTGATTTCAGGCATGCAAAGAGCTTAAGCAGAAGGGCAGTCAGTTCCCATTGTGCATTGCCTTTGAAAAATTGGGCCTTAATTTACATGTAAATAACAACGCTGTGTTCACATCCCCCTTCTACCTAAAGTTGTCTTTAGTGACCTATATTGTATTAAAAATTAGCTCATAAGTATTACTTTTATATTATGTCCATTTTCTAAAGTTGCATGTTTATACTCTTTGCTACAGTATTTTTAGATCAGATGCTTTTTCTCCCTTACTCTCATTGCTTAACTTCGAATAAACTGCTTGCATTCAGTTAAAGTATTATCCTTTTAAGTGGGCCACTGAAAAATATTTTTTCCTTATATCTTGTTTCTGGGAAAAATCAATAATATTCAAATTATGTATTAGGTGAGCATCTAATCACCAGATCTCATATTATTGTTTTTGTTGGGGGGTTGTTTTTTGAGACAGAGTCTTGCTCTGTTGCCCAGGCTAGAGTGCCATGTTGTCAGCCTAGCTCACAGCAACCCCAAATCCTGGGCTCAAGCAATCCTCTGCCTCATCCTCCGAGTAGCTGGGACTACAGGCATGCGCCACCATGCCCGGCTAATTTTTTCATATATTTAGTTGGCCAATTAATTTCTTTCTATTTTTTTTTAGTAGAGACAGGTCTCGCTCTTTGCTCAGGCTGGCTCGAAAGCCTGGCTCAAACGATCTGCCCTCCTCGCCTCCAGAGTGCTAGGATTACAGGCGTTAGCCATCGCCCAGCTCATTCATGGTTTAAACTGCTTCATTATAAAAATGTTTTTGAGGTATATATGAGTCATAGTCTGTTAATTGACTTTTAGCTTCTCTCATGTTCCAGATGCTTCTTTCTTCTCCTCCTTCTAAATTTTTTATTATTTTGAGCTGATATTTAAAACAATTCACAATCTTGTACACCATAGGGTGGAACATCTAAGAAAGAGAAGCAAAATGCTCCCTCTTCTAAAGGTCATTCACTGTTCAAATCACTGGAATCTGGCTTATCAATAGGCTTCCATCAGAGAGGGTTTAACCCTCACCTCCCAGTCCAGGGCCACAGGGCTTGCAATTGTGTTTCTATACATTTCTTTCAGGTTCTAATTTTCGTTTGCTGGGTATTCTAAGTTGACTACTACATTCAATGACTTTCTCTGTTTCCTGTTTAGAGGTGCCATTCAGTCCGGTCCCTGAAGCGACCTGGTTCATTCGGGCAGCTCCCCAGTAATCTTCGCATTCTACAGAATCCTATCTCATCTGGTTTTAACCCGAAAGGCATATATGTATAACACTGTCGGTCTTTGCGGGGGGGAGACCCAATAAAGGTACCAAGGACAGTAGAATTCTCCCTTTGATTTGTGCCAATGATGAACAGAGGGTGTATTTCACAAGCCGCCGTGTCTTTTTTTTTCTCTCCTAAATCGCATCCCACTTGGAGCCATACCCTGTGCACTGATGCTAAAGAACAAAGAAACTTGTGTCTCACACGTCAACAGTGTTGATATCTTTGTCCAGCAGCTGTAATGCAAAGCCTTCATTTTTATTTGTAGCATTTTGTGAGCATTAGCCAAGTGTCATCTTGTGTGTATTACATAAGTAAACCGTGACTTAAGAGTGAAGAAACATTTTGTGATGGCCTTAGTTTAATTATTTTCGTGTATCAATTCATGTGTGAATGTTGATGTTTTAATCTTTTCATTAATACTTATCCTGTGACTTAATTTCGTTACATGCTGTGTGATTATGACTCCGTGTGCATGTTGCCAGACTCCATCCGCGCATTGCTAATTTACAACTACACGAGCCTCGTGGGGTGTTCCGCCATCGAAACCAACTCCAGAAGACCACTTGAATTTATTTTCTGAAACTGTCCATTAGCATTGCTTAATTAGGTGAAATAATTTTGAGGGTTTTTGTGGTGTGTAAATCTAGAATTTAGTCATTCTTTCAATATTCCCAGTATATGATATTTTTCATGAGGAAATTGTATGTGTAAAAGGTTTCAGTGTTTTCAGATACTGTTGGAACAAAAATGGAATCGTTGATATCTATCCAGACAGGCATGGGTTTCCTGATACATTATATGTTTCGTTCTTGCCCTGCCCTGTCATTTCCTCTCACAGGTCCTTAGAATTGACATAATACGTAAGTTATAGGAGGACCAGATTGTTCTACTTGCAGAATGTCGTTTTAAGTGCTGTATTTTTAAATACACTTCATATGTATGACCTATTGATATACATACCCATGGGTAAGTTATTGCTTGCACATAATTTACCATTGGGATTTCTCTAGACACTTAGAGGGAAAGTCGATTGGAGTTAGATTTTTCACCAAGGATAAAATCAAATTCAGTATATGTTTTTACTTTTAAGCTTGACTGTTATAAGACATTAATCTGCATTTGTACATGTTGTTTTACTTATAAAACCAAAAATGAGTCAATGCCTCTCCTATGAGTAGTGACTTAACTGAGATTTATAAGAATATTTAGACAGAGGCAGTCAGATACCACTTAGCCATTTTGACATCCCCTCTGGTCAAATATGGTACAGAATAATGAAGACTTTAATCTGAAATTTAAAGTCGTTTTTCTGAAGATAATTAATAATATTCAATAAGCCTGTAAATTGTTACATAATTTTAAAATTCTGTTTTTTAGTCATACTTGTTTAAAATTATTTTAAAACTCTGTCTTTAGCCATAGTAGCACATATGGCTTACTGTACTGGACAGCACTGACACAGAACATTTCCGTCACCGGAGGAAGGTCTGTTGGACTGCGCTGGTTTAGGAGCTTGCTAGCCACAGTGCAGTCCATACCAGGCAGCTTCTGGGCACAGTTGTTAGAAATTCAGAATCTACATTGTCACAAGATCCCTACGTAGCACCTGTGCACACTGAAGTTTGAGAAGAGCTGCTTTAGAGTATGAACAATTTCAAAATCAGAGAAAGCTGAGGTTTTAGGAAAAACCAATGTGATTTCCTTTCTCTGTCATTAACTGTGGTGAGAGAGAAAACTACTATCAGAATTTTGAAAATCAGGAATTTTTCATGCTCAGAGGTTTGTTAGCCTCT